AGCTTGAATGGGCCCGTCGTGTCACAGGGTTATGGCTTACAGGCCCAACAGTGCATGTTGCATCGCTCTCTGACGTGCAGCTGCTTGCATAATTCACGCGACGTACGTAAATATAGATATTTTTTTAAAATTTATAGTTCTATAAACTTGCGTATTTTATAAACTTGCGTTTTTTTTCTTTGCACCTTTTATTTCTTCGCCCGCAGGGTCTGTCACCTAATTCTGTCACAACAACCATGTCTCCCGCGTATCCGAACAGCGAACCATCGTCGGACTCTTTGAACACATACAGTAATGTGGTTTTAGATGCCGGCAGCTCTGCTGGCGCTGCGAATGATAATGGCACCAGTTTATTGGTTCAACAGCAACGACAGCAACAACAGCAGCAGCAGCAACAGCGACAAGTGCAGCAGCAACAACAGCAACAGCAACAACAACAACAACAACAGCGTCAGCAGCAGCAACAACAGTCACTTAGCACAAATTTGGAAGGTATGTAGGTGGCTAGATGAACAAATTTGACCGGTAAAAAATATGGCTATCGAAAGAAATTATAAGTTAGTTGAAATTACTTAGCTATCGGTAAATCCATCGTAGTCCGATTTTCGGGAAATCTGCGAAAATGTGATCACTGCTACGAACGTATGCTTTCAAAGTATATGCTATTCGGATTCGGTCAGCGTATTTGCGTAGCAGCTATGATAGTTGCCCCACCTTATCGATTTTCATAGCTTAAAGTTTAATGAGCTTAACCGTAAAAATTGTAATGGATTTAAAGAGCTTTATGTAGTCACAATTTCCAAAAATTTTATATTTATAAGCAGTTAAAGTCTTCTTAATTTTTTATGAATTTTGGTATAAGTTTATACATATAACCGCTTTGGACATCGAGAGTTCTGTATTAACTAGACGTTCGCATATCTACGTGGCAGTGTTTTCTCGCATCGTTCGGCGAGATGCCCTTTTGAGCATCTGTTCATGGGAAGACCTAAATTAGTCACAGAAACCCGAAAGCTCCCCTAGCTCAGAGAATTCTGTGACCTTTCACCGACATAACTAAACTTAGCAGATTATTGTTGAGAATGGAGCACTGCGACCTTGAGATCTAACTATGCCTTTTATAGATTTCTAGTCTGTCTATTAATTTAGTAGCTGAGGGTAATTTTAATATTTACCCTAAATATTTTGATTAAACTGCACTCTCGATTATGCGAGGATCACCTAAGCGCCGTGTGCATCAGTGCAGGACATCGTTCCAAAATCTTCCGCACAGTTTCGATGCTCACCCTACCAAATATGCATCGCTTCTGCAGTAAGTTCCCAGTTTAGCCGGGTAATTGTTCAGCTTACAGTGTCCTGTAAGAATGTTTGTAATAACTCGTAATTTATTCGTGGATAAGCTCAAGCATTCCTCGGCTTATACTACCTAATGAGTTCTGAGGGCCCTAAAAGCTGTTTGGCTATCAGTCAAGATCGCGGTGTTCTAATCACAGTAGTCTGGATATGATTAGGTCAAGATGAACCTCGAAAGATGTTATTGGACAAATTGTTATGGAATCAGTTTTGCATATCGAGGCCTAACCTCCAAAATAATGTAAGCGAAATTTTTTTCAAAACTTTCGTTTTGATACAGAAATATTCCTAAAGCATTTCTGCATCAAAAAGAAAATTTGGAAAAAAAGTAAGTGCGCCTGGGCCACACTGGAGAAGTGAAACTTACGCTATATATCTATTTGGTCTCATAACAAATACACGTACATATATCTGATTTTGCCAAGGTTATATTTTTTCTCTATCTAGATCCCCACCTCTATCCCTGTACGTTCTAATTACATTTATGTTATTCTGTTTTCCTCTATCTTCATTTTTATCTTTATACTCTATCGCACTTAAAAAATATTTGGCCTAGTTTAACTTTAAAAAAAGAATAACTGTTATTTTCGGTACCTGCAATTAACCATATATATCATGGCTATCGCTGTAGTCTTCGAAGGTCGTTAGGACTAAGATTACCTCTCCAAGATTTTTGCACTCAAGTGCCATCAACTACCATATGAATTAAATACCCAAATATTGTCATTTTTTGTTTTTTGCATTCGCAGACAACAACTGCGCATCAACACTTATCGGGCAATGCATGGAGGCACTCAATAATGAGCCACAAATTGACGAATTTACGCTAGACAGCTTTCAACCTGGCCTAGAGTGCAATCTGGAGGAAGTGAGTATCAAATTATTTTGTAACCGCTTGAAATAATTTGAAACAATGTAAACTCTCTGCCGATTCTCTCGCTACAAATTCACTTTGCAGTTAATCCGACAGGAGATGAGCATTGATGGCATGTTGGATATCAACATCCCATTCCCATCCGACCCCACAGCTGTTGGCAATGACAGTACGAATATTGTTAATAGCGCCCTCGGCGGGGCGAATAATGCGCAGCACCAGCACCAGCAGCAACAACAACAACAACAACAACAACAACAACATCAGCAGCAATTGAATCAGCTGCAGGCACAGTTACCCCAGCAACAGCAGC